TGTAGCCCCAGCTGTCCTGGAACTCACTATATAGACCAGGCTGGCCTTGAACTCACAGAGATCCGCCTGCCTCTGTTTCCTGAGTGGTGGGATTAAAGGCGTGTGACACCACGCCTGGCCTTTCTCTTTTATGGGGCTTTTTGCTGCTCTAATATTCTCCCCTCTGAAGAGGTAACCCTAAAATCTTTTAAGGATTAAATAAAAGTTCCCAAATATTTTTGACAGTTTTGGCCTTTGGAAGAGAGTATGTGCTAAGAGGCCCAAGGACACTTTGAGTTTTATCCAAGAAACCGGCTACCTTTCTTTAGGGTCTTTTTGCCCTAACTGCCTAGCCAATTCCTACTTATTCTTATCACACCATCTTCTGAAGAGGTTACCTAAATTGCCAATAGGGAATCGAGATGTGACCGCTCTGCCTTCCTCGTGCTGAACAAGGACACAGGGTAAGGCAATTGGAATACCCCTTCAGTGGGTCTATCTAAAAGACTCCCAAATTGCATAACTCTTATCTCAAGGAGGAAAAGAAAGTCTTTGAATCATGAATAGGAGATGTGAAGGAGAAGTAAAGGCAAGAGTAATTAGCATTACAAGTTCTAGACCGGGAACTAGAAAAAGTCAGAACAGGACAATTTTCAAATGTTCATATGAGAATTCATTGGCATTTCTTGACAAGGAAAAAATCATCCATCTATTGAGTTCTTCCTCATTTTTCTTTTGTCTTCCAAGGCTGGACTCTAGAGTGATGGATACAGGATTTGCTTTCAGGTATTTTGATAGCTGTCGGAGTGGTTAAGTTTTGTGTTTTTTAATATTCGCTCTTTAGTTATCTGCTAGATTTTACTACTTTAAAAACTTATCTAAGTCGCATATAATGGTGACTATTAGATAAGGCAAAAATGAAAAGTCCCATTTTGCTTACGTGGGACTTGATCCTGTAGGAGTGACTGTCCACAAATTGCAAGGCCACTGCATTGCAGGAGTTGTCTTGCTCTGTTTGCTCTTCACTGCTCTGTGTCAGCTGTCCTGGTTTAGAGAGGAGATGTGATCTGTCTTCATGGAATGAGAGATTATGAAACAACTGTGCAAATAAAATACTATCAAAGAAGACTGAAGATCAAGGGCATTGGCACATGCAGTCTAGACACATGCAAAGAAACTCTGTCTCAGAAAAAACAGAAACAAAACAAAAATAAGTAAAATGAAGTTTAATTGAAAGCCTCAAATTGATGGGGAGGATACAATATGCAATTGTAGGAAATAGGTTGTTCCCATGGGATTCTCTACCTCCCATTTCAAACTGTTTTTTTATGTTATTTTCTCTGCACATTATGTAAATGTTGTAAAAGAAACGTGCTTAGCATATCCTATTTTCAATCCATATGCCCACATTTAACAATGTATATATAAATTGTATGTAGATCCATCATACACCTATATTAAATGCATTTAATATCTAGGGAATTATGTTCTTACTAAACATTGGGCTGGTATTATTTTTCTAACATAATCTTCAGAAAAATATGATGGCTTAACTTGCCTTTGCTTTAGAGAAATATATTGTGTGATAAATTTGTGTGTACAAAAGGAGGTGTGAAAGAATGCTTACATACTTATGATAAATACAACTAGGTCAGGCCTCAACATTACTTTCTCTTTTATACTTTAACTTTGTTTCAACAATTTTCTGTGAGTACCAAATTTCTGTTTTACTCATTTTTAACTTATATCTTATTGCCTAAAATATAAATTAAACTAGTCACAATGGTACATGCTTTTAATCCCAGCATTTAAGACACAGAAACAGCCTGATCTCTGAGTTCGAGGCAAGCCTGGTCTACATAGAATCCCAGGTTAGCTGGGGCTACAAGGAGACTGTCTGAAAAAAAAAAATACTATTGCTGCATTGTGTAAACAGCCATGTATTTCTTGGAGCGTACTTTTGATATTTCTCCTTTAGACATGGCTTTGGATTTCTGGACCTTTGTGCCTGTACTGTGCCGAGAGACTTTATCGATGTATCCGGAGCAACAAGCCTGTCACCATCATCTCAGTCATCAGTCATCCTTCAGACGTCATGGAAATTCGAATGGTCAAAGAAAATTTTAAAGCTAGACCTGGTCAGGTGAGTCTGTGGTTTCCCCTTTTTAAAAACCCTTTATCTTTAGGTAATTTTTGAGTATTAATAGACATAGCATTATTGGAGTAGTTTTATTTCTTTTTTGATCATTTAAAAATATTGTCTGTTTGTTGCTTTTTTAGTATGTTATTCTACATTGTCCCAGTGTATCAGCATTAGAAAACCACCCATTTACTCTCACAATGGTAAGACACATATTTCTTGAATTTAAAAAAGTTTAGAGCACAGAACATCTGTGTGTGTGTGTGTGTGTGTGTGTGTGTGTGTATATACATACATGTTCTTCATTCTAAAAATTATTCAAAGCTCAAACAGTTTCCTTAACATTTGAGTAAGCCTTTTTTTTTAAAACAAAGAAACATAGTTATCTGTTTATAATATTTGTGACTAATTTATTCTTTCTGGTATTTACAATTCAGTAAGAAAAATATTTATTTATTTATTTATTTAAAATTTATTAAATATTTTTAATTTAGACCTCAAAAATACTTTACCATGTATGAATTGTGGAGTTAGGCACACAGTTGATAGAATGCTTGCCTGGCCTGCAGGTATAGGAAGAACAGGGTTCCCTCTCCAGCACCACATAAGCAGGTGTGGTGGTAACTTCTGTAACTCCTGCAGTTTGGAGGTGGTGGCAGGATGATCAGAAGGCCAAGGTCATCCTTAACTATACCATGAGTTCCAGAACAATCTGATCTACTTGAAATTGTCTCAGACAAACAAAAAGATTTTAAGGTATTCCACATAAGAATTATGTATAAAAATGGAATAAGTGTACAGTTTTCCTTAGAATGATAGAAGTAAAGGAAAAATAGATACTGGATACTGCGGAATGATATGGAAGCATTAAAAAAGGAATCCCGGCCGTGGTTAGAACAAGAGAAGCATATCATAACTGGAACCTGAGTGTATTAAGGAAAGTGAAACTGAAAAACTAAAATGAAATGAATACCACAGATGGCTAGTTAAGTAATGATATCATCCAACATGTTTAATTCATCAGCATGGTCAGCATTTTTATATCATAAAATATTGCCAACCTGATATGTATTTTAAAAAGTTACTGCCATATGCTTATTGAGCATAGTGTTTGGTTTCATAAGGATATTTTTGTTCTGGTCTATGAGGAACTTTGATCGTGAGCACCACTGATGCCCTACCCCTTCTACATCCTCTTCCCTCCTTCTAGTGTCCTTCCTTCCCCAGCTTCTATCACTGCTATTCAACTTTCCTGACTTACTGATGTGGCTCTAGGCTGTGTAAAATCTCAGACCCGTGAATGAGAGAGAAGCATGCAATTTTCATTTTCTGAGTTAATTTGCTTTGTCTAATGCACTTCAGTTCCTCTCACTGTGTAGTGCAGGTTGGCCTCAAACTTGTCATCTTATCCTGGTTCCACAGTGCTGGGGTTTAGGCTTGTTTCAGCTCAGCCAGCTTAAATTTCAAATAATTCACAAATAGATAAGATGAAATGGAAAAACTTCTATTTTTTCCACTCAATGCTTTCTCCATAATTTGACAAATATCATTTCGTATATTTCCCTATATGCTTTAGCATAAGTAGGTGCCTGGGATTTGTTTCTTGCATGGAATGGTTCTGTCCCTGTCTCACTGCACTCAATAATATATCATGGACAATTTCTTACTCTACTATATTTAAATATGTGTCATTTTTTAACACCTACAAAATATTCAATCACTAGAAAATGCTGCTTGTTTAATATTCCCATTAATGACTGACATGTAGGCTGTATTTTCTTATAAAAATAAGAATAAAGACTACATAGTAAATGTATATACACAAAAAAGTGGACAAATTAAAGAGGTAGGCCAAAAAACCCAGCTAGTACCAAATGTTAAGATTTTGGTTTGTGGTTTTGGAAGTCAATTTCAGATTGGATATTAATTATATTCAAATCCTCAAACCCTAAGTATGTTACTTTACGTTCTTGTACTTTGGTTCTGAATGCCATATTGGGATTAAAAGCCGTTCCTAATCATAGATTTGTGTGGGCTTAAGAGAGCATTTGGAAGTGCAGTTACAGTATAAAGAACTGCTGCGATCACAAGAAATAGCAGGGCTATGTGAGTACATTCTAGCAATTATCACATCTTTTTAATTTTTCATATTAGTTTATGCCTTGAAAACACCTGCTTATTGACAACTAGGCCAAGGAATTCTACATTTAAGGGAAAAAAGAAATACAAGACAGGTGTCAAATTCTTAGAATAAAACAAGAAGTCATGTATTCAAAAGGATTTCTTAAAAGGAAAAATAAATGTTGGTTTTTACTTCATTAATTTCAAGTGTTGTATTCTGTCTGTATGTGTCCAGCTTGTTTCTTAATGATCAAAGAACAGTAGTTGGTCATCTAGTGAGATAATGAGCAACATTCAGTCTGTTAGGAAAGGTGGCAGGTAGCCCAGCACAGAGATGGGATGAATTATGATTGCTTTCTCTGGAGTGATGGTAAGTGATCTGGGTACCCTTTCATCTGATGGACAGGTATGCACTAGTCTGAAAGGGGAACAAACACTGAAGACAGCAGTGAAAACTCAGCTGCCTGCCTGGAGTAAGCAGCTGGAACCTCAGAGCCCCAAGGACACACTTGTATCAGAAACCAGTCCTCAGACCTCTGTTTCACCAGGTCATAAGAATATATCTGATTAACAAATATTTGGCTATGAGATTTCATCTAAATCATGTTTGCTTCTGAAAGCTTTAAGAAATACTTTTTTTCATTTCTCAGCATTCAGACCTCCCAAAACATGAAATTGCTATCAGAAAAAAAGAAGGTTGAAACTGAAAAGGAAGAAAATACACAAGTACTTTAAAGGTTTACGGGACTTGGCTTGATGTTACAGTCATAATAACTTCAAGAATTATTTCTTTGTTTATTTTAAAATTATTTCTTCAATATCATAAAATAGAGGTCATGGGATATGAGAAACAAAGGCATCTCTGGAATGCCCAGTATAGAAATAGGGTTCCCTTTTTATGAAATTATTTTCCAACATGCTCAGAATGGAGAAAATGGTATGACAAGTCGCTATGTACCCATCAGACAGCATCAACAGAACACAGAAGGGACCTGTGCCACTGAAAATGGTTATAACTTCTCAAAACTACTAAAGTAAGAATTTTCACCTACTGTACAGAGTAGGAGTTTCTAGATCAAATGTCTCCATTTTCTAAGCTCCTGCCCAAGGTCACAGTGGAAATGCAAAAGAAGCAAAGAGCGCAAACATAAGGGCTTTTAGCATATGCCACTCCTTGGATGACCTGCATCTAAATATAGTTTATATCAGGCACAATCACCTTTTAGACATCTGTGAGATATCCCAGTATAATTTATGTGGTGTTCTTGTATACAAATCTTTGTTTTATTTAATCAAAACTTATTTTCTGAAGCTTTCATTTTTAAACCAATTAGTTGTTATTTCTATATCTTGGGATTTTAGGGTGGAGGGCAGAATCCCCATCTACATAGCAAATATTCAAATTCCTGACAGACTGTTATGTTCCCAAACTTCTCATTTTACTATACCTGATTCTCAAAAAAAAAAAAAAAACCCAAAAGTATTAAAACAAACAAAACAAAAACAACAAAACAAAAAACAAACCTTTAGAAGTGAAGAATGAAGAAAATCCAATTTAAAAACATATTTTGATTGTTTCAGTATTATCAAAGTAACAATGCAATTACAAAGTACTGACTTCACCATTATGGATCTTGTTGAATTGTCTTAAAGAATAAGAAATCTAAGGGCATCTTTAGCCTTTACTCATCAATGGTTAAAAGCACTGACTGCTCTTAGGGGACCTAAGTTTGAATCCCAGTACCCACAAAGTAGGGGATCCAATCCCTCTTCTGACCTCTGTGGGCATTGCATGACACAGACGCACTTACACACATGTAGGCAACACGTAAAATAAAAATAGTAAATAAAATGTTTTTTAAAAAAGAAATAGGCAAAGTCAAAGTTTTACTATCAGTATAATTAAAGAAAGTGTAAACACAAGTGGCAAAAAAGTAAAACAAGCAAAGAAGAAAATGTTGTCCAAATTGGAGACTAACATCTCCCCAGTTTGTATAACCTGTGATCTAAGGTCTCATTAACCGCCCCCCCCCCCGCCCCCTCCACTGGGTTGTAAGTGATGGAAGCAAGCACAGGGCTGAGGTCTCTACAGGCAGTATTTTCAAAAACCATTAAGCATTACTCAACCTTCAGGAGGGGAGGAATGTGGCTGCGGATGTCCCCTGAGGCTTTAGATTATATTCAGTCTCTATGGTAGTGAACTTCACGGCAGATAAGTGGCTCCAGAGACTGATCAACTTCTGACCTCAGGCTCAGGGCTATCAATCCTAAAGTTATTCTTAGCTGATGAGGTCTGCCCTGGCCTCCAAGGACAATGTCACCCCTCTCTGTGCACTTCACTGCTTGAGCCCAGTCTACTGATGTTTCTTCTTGTTTCTTCTTGTGTATCTCCAGCTCACCCACTCTCCATGACTGCCTCCACCTGACATTTCTCACCCAGACTCTCTTAGATCCTCAGAGCAGCACAGTTTTAAACAATAAGTTTCCTCTTAAGACAGTGTCCAGCCACAGCTCTCCAGGTCACAGGGAGTGACAGAATGGAATTCCTCGCAAAGGCTACCCATCTCCCTGGAAAAGTCTCAGTCTTATGAAGACCCATAACTGGATTTGAAGCTTGTAAGAGCTGTGGGATTTGTCCTCTAGATAGGCCTGCTACCCTCTTTGTCCCAGTAATGACTGGCTTACATTTGGGTGAGGCTTTTACTTCTCCCTGCACTGGAGGATGGCAGGACTGGGGTTGTGTTGGGCTTAGCTTACTTATATTCGCATCACCCATTTTTCAGCTTTTGTATCATTCCCCTTGTGAATCTATGATGTTCTTCCCTTTCTTTGGTCTACAGTCTATTCTTTCCTGTCCTGAATCTTCTCTTTTACTGCATATG